TATGTCAGCAAATATGCCACACAGTGCAGACTGGGCCAGTGGCGCATACTGGCACCTGTAAGTCGTGGTTAGTCTTGGCTACACCGGCCAATCACGTTCCGAGTTGGAACCAGGATTTTTTTCTAATTCATGGTTACGCTGGCCAATCACGTCCCGAGCTGGAATCAAGATTCACCCTATTCTTGGTTACGGCAGCCAATCATGTTCCGAGTTACAATGAATGCTATGGCCAATCAGAGCCCTTATACCATTCAAGATTTGTACTGTAATAACAGATTTCGTTGCAGATTAATTCGGACAACAATTACAAAGTAAGTATTTTTATAACAAGTTGGTTTAAATGAATACCCATTATAGTAACATTAATTACTACAACACGATTATTATATGATTGTTATAGATGTTGTATAACGTTATTTGGTAAGATTAACTTAGCCGACCAAGCACTCTTTAAAGTTTTACTACAAACATTTTAATGCAGTTATTATACATTACAACACTTTATATTATTATTTACTACCATAGTTACAATAATGCCCGTGCATTATTCTAACACATCAATGAATCACTCACTTATAATAAATATAAGGCTCATTTCATCAGTCACTGATTATAAACAAATATTATAATAACGCTCACATATCACTACATCACTAATCATAAACTAATCTAATAAATCAATCACAAAGCAAAAAAACAATATGGATCACGCATGAATGCATCACTAATAATAAACCAATAATATAATAATGCTCACACATTAATTCATCACTAATAATAAAGCGATAATATAAGGGTCACACATTAATGCATCTTCATTAATAAACCAATAATATAATAATGCACACACATTAATTCATCCCTAATTATAATCCAGTAACAAAGTTAACATTAATAATCTTCTTTAATTTTCTATTTCACAGACATAGATTAAATTTAGTAACAGACTAAAATATAAGTAACTTCAATTTAAAGTAATAGTTTGATATATTGAATATGTTTGAATACAGTTGTGCCTTGTCTACTAAAGAAAGAAAAGTGATTGATTTATGTTTAATACAAGCAAGGCGTTGTATTGCTTTATGCTGGAAAAAAGTTAATCGCCCCTCCATTGGATTTTGGTTGAGAAACCTTATAACATGCTTGGCTCTTGAAAAGCTCACATATATAATAAGGAAAAAATCCTCTGATTTTTGTGACATCTGGTAATTGTTTTTGAACTTTGTAAAAAAACGGATATATTAAAGAAGCTTCGGAAGTCTGAAGTTGTGGGATGTGAATTGGTGCTTTATTTTATTTTATTTTTATTTATTTATTTATTATATTTTTATGTATATATGTATATGTGTAATTTATTATTTTATTTTTTTGCATTTTTTTAATTATTTATTTATTTTTATATTTTTTTCCCTAAGCCTGTCTAGGGTAAGTTTTGGGTTCAATACTCAATAAAGACATGTTATACAAACGTACAAGTTTGAATGCACTGCTTTTACATGTAATCAAACAATAGTTTTCAAAATGTAGAAAATATTTTCTTTTTGGAAATGAAAATGTTGTCTTCAAAAAAAATTACGTTACATGTACATTATTACATTACAAAAGAGATAAAATAAAATTTCACTTATTCACTGTCTCAACTGGGACAAACATTGTTATTAATGATATAATTATTTTATTGATGGCAGCCTGAATCTGACAGATAGAGGCAACAAAAGTAAAGGAAGCTAACAAAGGAAAGTCATACAGAAAACTGTCCCCAGAGGCAGTACTGGACAAGACCAAAGAAACTTAAATGAGCACCATGAAGATGTGATTAACAGAAAACATCTGCTGGGTTTCTTTGAAATCCAGTTTGGTGAATTTTGTGGCCAAACATTCAGGTGGGTGGCTGAAAGTGCACTAGGTTATACTGCTTACCTGGCAGCTATAAGGAGGGACCCCACAGGAGGAAGAAAAGACTCCAAAAGAACATGCCCACAACAAAGTGAGTTTAAGAGAATATATTGAGCTCGTTAATTCTGGCAAAATTGCCATTGCCATGAAGGAATAGCAATATAATGGGAAAGCTCCCCAGCACTCTGCTCCCACCCAGCACTCTGCAACGGCCCAGCACTCTGCCATGACCCAACACACTGCTCCTACCCAGCACTCTGCCATGACCCAACACACTCCTATCAAGCACTCTGCTCCTACCCAGCACTCTGACTAGGGTACCCCCAGGATCCTCCAAATGAAATTCAAGGCTTTTTAAGACTTTTTCAATACCATTTCAAATGAAATTTAATGCCAACTTTGTACTCATTCCGACAAAAGTATAAGGGAAAAATGTCAAATCTGTATAAAGTTTGAACCCTAGAAAATAATGATGTACAATTGGGCTACTTGAATTAAGTAAAGCATTTTATTTTAATTTTCTGTTATATTTAATACATGCGCAACAGTGTGGTCAGCACCCAGTAGTGAATATGAAGGTCCAACTGAAGGTCAAACATGACCACAAACTCGTTGGCCTTATTGACCTGGTCAGTCAGTTCTTTAGTTATAAAAGGATCTGAATTAAGTAATATATGCAGTTTTGTTGCTTCCACACAAGAATGTAACTGCAAACTCATAGTCTGGAAACATGGTTTTAAAAACCTTTGTAATGTTCTAATTTGATGTAAAAAGAGTGGTGCTCAGGGATTGTTTTAGGGACCCGCATCACATCTGCCTGCAGAGCTATTGTTGAGCCACGGTAAGATAGGGTGTTCCTTTGCTGTGGTGGCAGTGTTGGGCAAGCTACTTGAAAAATTTAATGAGCTAAGCTATTAGCTACTCTACTTAAAAGCTTACCTCTTAGAAATGTATCAGGCTAAGCTATAAACTCCTTGGCAAAAGTAGCCTAGCTACATCCAAGCTATTTTTACAATTTTCATATTTAAATCAAAGCAAGTTAAATCCAAGTCAATCATATCTTAGTGATCAATAAAACTGTCAATGAAAAATAATTTAGTTCAGTTATTTACTGTAAATAATATGCTGTACCAAACAGAAACAAATTATAGTATATAACAGCAAAAAGTAAAAATCCAATAAAACCAGGTGTTACACAATTAAAATACTATAGTCATTTATAGTAAAGGGAAATACTCTGCAATAAGCATTATATTGTATATATATTTACAACTCTTCATTAATGAATTACACCCTAATCTAATCTCTCTCAGTCATCTTTCAATCAAGCAAGCTTCTAGTGTCAGCCCAATGATTGGTGACATCACCAACCGGAGCGAGACGTGGCAGTAACGCATCAAAAACTTTGTTATCGACCACCGTAAAACAGGAAGAAGAAACTGTCATTCTTCTAATGTAGAAATTTCTTCATTACTGATCGTTAAAGCTGTTTTAGTAATCAGAGAGGTTTCCGCTGCACAGAACTGCACAACAGGTGGTTGGCACTATCAAGCAGTGCTACATGCGGTGTGTTTGGCAACCCCCCACATGGAAGTCCAGGGCTGTTACACCCATTGTCGCTAACGTTAGCTTAAAAGATTTCTGGCATCAACATCATTAGGTGTTGCGGTCATTTCCTGGCACAGGCTTAACCCAAACGCAATTCGGATTCCTAGGCCACATCGACACTTTCCCATTTTAGCCAACAAACTGGACTAGCCACTATCTTGTTCTGTAACTCACCTCAAGTAACCATATGACGGGTGCGCACGCTTTTACGCTTTCTGCTATGACGTGGAGCGCGAGGTGCACTCAACGTTACGCTGCATGAATTTTTAATTAGCCTACATTAGTAACAGTTCATTTTGTTACGGTATGAACTTAATCCTAGGAAAGGCAAAAATAAATGAATAAAATTAAGACCTTTGTAATGAAATTAAAGACTTTGTATACCAAATTCAAGCCTATTAAAGAGCATATTGTAGGTTAGACACCCCAGTGAGTCAATGTGAAGAAAAATAAAGTAAGAACGAGATTAAAAAAAAAAAAAAAAAAAAAAAAACTTAAAGTACGCTATTACGGCATCTGGAGTCGTTTATAGTGGTAATTTTTTTCTTCCGTATCTAAAAATCGCTAGACCAGAAGTGACGTCGAAATGGGGAGAAGTGCGATAGTTTCACAATGGATCCTAATGAGAGTTCAGTCGAGGAAATCGCAAATGTGTATTTAAATAAGTACGATGGCCCTAAGCCATATAATTATGAACCTGCAATGCGGCCAAGAGATCAGGGGCAGGCTAATAGACAAAACAGCAGTCAGAGAAGACAAGTTGAGCTGTGGTGTGAGGAGAACCAGTGGAGAACAGGGCAGGTGTCTTGGTGAGGGATTAGTGTTGGCTTAAACATAAGCTAGGGAAATCTAATGAGGAAATAGCAAAACTACCATAGCTTATCGATAAGTATTAATAAAATGACCATACATATTATACATGAGGGATATGTATTATAATTGTTATTATAATTGTTATTTACATTATGTATTCAATGATATATAATACCGAGTAAATACAAAAAAAGTACATATATATATTTGTATTTACTTGTTTTTATTAATGTACATAATAAATAATATTATAATATATATATATATATATATATATATATATATATATATATATATATATATATATATAACTATTTTATTCATTTCTAAATTACTTATCCTTTTAACAGACCTATACTACTTTGTGATGTCACTTTTTTTTTTGTTTTTGTGGCAAATGTGAGGCAATGGTTACAGCTGAAGAGAGTCAGTGCTGCAGGGAGATACATGCATACTGGGCCTTAGTGGAGAACGTGACACCAACACTGGATGTGCAGTGCCTGACTCTGCACCCAGGCTTTGAGGCTTGTTGTCTAAACCCGTATGTGCTATAGATTGCATATATGCACTTTAGGCAGGAGCATGGACCTCTCCAGGCCAGCAGACATGAGTATGTTGAGGGCAGACATTTTGCTAAATAGTGGGATGTATATCATGTAAATTAAACATTATTACAAAAACAATAATGCTTGTTTTTGTTTATTTGCTAACAGCACAAGATAACCAGTATTGACACTTTGTCCTTAACTCTAGACAATACCACTACACAGCATATAGACAAGTTGTCCGCTGGGCCTATGGCATTCTGGGCAGACACATCAGGAAGCCCTTACCTGCATGTGTTGTTTCAGCTATCAGACGACAGTTTCCAGCAGAGGGAGGAGTTTACAAAGGTTTTGAATGGCCCCAATTTGGTGACAATCAATAAAAATACAAGATGTCTCACTGTGTAAAATGTCAAAGATTAAATAAACAAATCTGTATAGGTTCGTATAATTCAAGTCTTATCGACCCTAATTCAAGTGTTATTCATATGGTGCAAAATCATTGGAAATATTTTTAGTTATAACCCAACTCAAAGCACAGCATTGTAACTGTCATACAGTAGAAATGATAAGCCCTCCTTTGAATTGTATTACCTTTTTCAGTAACAGAAAAAAGACATTGCTTGAATTTTGTTTTTATTCTACTATTAATTATTTTGTAAAATCTTGTTAGTTAAAAAATAGAATTATCTTAATTAAAAATGTTTAATTGTTAAACAGCACTTAAATGTTTTTAATAAATACTTTAAAGACATGCTAATGTCTACATTAAAATATTTAATGTTTGCTAAAACGTGAATGCTGTGCCAGATACACTCCACCAGCCTCTTTTTTGTTAATCCTCTGGAGGGATCTGGAAAGGGGCGCAGGACAACTTGATAACAAAGAACTGCTTCGCTCTCGTAAAGCCTGTGGTGACCTCGAGTATTCCACTGTCAGAGACTCCATGAGGGCTGATGCATATGCTGGAGGCATAAAGCAAAAGTTAAAATCACGTTTATGACTCATCTGACAGTGTTAATGGAATTTAGGAATTAACTAAAGCTGCTAACCGTATGATGGTTTTTCCTTAACAGGACGGACTACCCAGCCACCTTTGCGGAACCTTGGGTATCGAACCGCGTAACACAGCTCACCATCACTGGTTCGAGCAACTTCTCTGCTACCATTGTGGTTAAAGTGCATGGCTGCCAGGAGAAGTCTGTAGAAATATATCGTACCCATTACAAGTTGAGCATATGTGAACAATATAGAATCAATACAGAATAAAAATACAGTTCTGTTATAAACTGTATAAGTGGTTATAGTTCAACCACAATGATTCATGTGTTGCTGATGTACAAATAATACAAATCTCTGTTCATCATCACTTACTGCAAAATTTATTTAAGTTGTGCAGCATGTTAGACTGTATTAATTTTAGAAAGTATACTCATGCTTTCACCTGCTGTACATCCCAAGGAAGGAGAATCCAGTGTGCTTAGGTGCAAAGTGCAGGATAAGGGAGTGAAATGCCTCCAGTGAAAATGTCTGATGCTGTGGTGACAGCTGCTGAATATCCTTAACCAGTGCTTGTCTCATGGCCACACACTCCAGTTTAACTGCTACTGTTGATCCTGCATAAAAACAAGAATTGTTTTTTTTATGAAAGGGGCAGGTACACAACAAGGTGGCATTTTTATAACATACAGTTCACTTTTAGAAATGTTGAACAATAAGTTATACCTGGTTCCAGCCACTCCTTGTTCCTTGCTTCCCCTTCCAGAGGTGGATGTGCACAGCAGGGGAACACAGGACTGTTGTGTGGTTGACCATACTTTTCCACTTGGCCTCCATCACATCTGCATCTCCATTAGGAGTGGAGGCTGCAGTCCAGTAGAGGTGATTAATTACAGCTGGCCTCCACAGCTTTAAATCTTTACACTCTCTATCCTTTGCAGCAGCATCCAAAGCCTTCCCTAGACCTGTTGTAGAACAAAAATATTACAAGTTAAAAAATGGATTTGTAGGCAGATGTCAAAGAAATGGCTCGTTCCATTTGGACAAAGCTCCTCCCGCACCCACTTAGCGACCTAAAATGTGGGATACAACACATTAATTATAAGAATAAGTTGGTTTACTTAATAACATTCTGATCATCATGTTTTTTGTCTGTATATATGTGCATCGTTACCTGGCGATTTCTGTCTGTGATGAGGGCTGACACATGCATGCGTTTCTCATTCAAAAACCTTATGCTGCGCTTTAGACCTTCCAGCTCACACCAAGAGCTACTTGGAACCTCAGAGCTCTGTAAATACATTTGGTCATGTCACTTTGCAACATTAGACAGGCGATATGTGTTTGATAACATTAACTTACCTGGACAAGTTGAATGTCTAAAACCTTGTTAATTCTGTCCTCAATCAAAGAGTATGTGCCATATTTAGCACAACGGCCAGGAGAATCTGATCTATGAATGTCAAAAACAATTAAGACATTTAATCTCAAAAACTGAATCATTAAACAATATATTATATTGTTTTGACTGTTATAAATGATATGCCCCAAAGTGTGCTACCTGCAGTCACCAGACAGGATCAGGCCACCACTCATCTCATTCAGGTCTCGAATGACCCTTTCCTGTTCATTCTGCCACGCATGCACAATGGTAGGTATTGTGTACAACCGCTGGTGGCGGAAAAAGGTGTCTACGCTTATGCTCTGAAGGCCAAAGAGTTTTAGCATCCTGAAGGTCTGGGTAGCTATGCAACCTGTAAAGTGGATGGCCCCACTCAGTAAAAGGTTACAGACTGGCATGTTTCGATGCAGCATTGTCTGGTTTTGCCAAAAACGCTAAAAGGCACATGCTGCACAGACCTACAAATTATAAGAAAAAGTAGAAAATAAGTAATCTATAGCATTAAAGCAACAAAGTATATTAATACAACAAAATATGGAAGATATGATAACACTTTTACTTCTCAAATAATTAAAATATTGGCACTTGCCTGCTGAATTTTTACAAAAGTTCCCTCCTGCTTCACAATGTGTGTCCTCACAACATGCTGGGCATATTGCAAATAAATACATCAGCTGGCTCAGGCACACAATAAACTTGTCAGGAGCACTATAAAAGGAAAAATGTTTAACTGAAATATTTGCTTATACACAAATGTAAAAGTAAACACTGTATATACACATAAAAGTCTAACTTTGAGTCAGGATGAGATTCTGGCACTGGTTCCTCAGTAGATGTGTCAATTGTCATTTCCTCCTCTGGCATCCATGAAACATCATAAGGTTCTTCCATCACAACAGATTCCTCATCGCTGTGTACAGGGCTGGCCAGTGGGGTTGATGTTTGTTGCGTACACATTTCTGTCTGAGTCCCCACACTGAACATTTTGGGCTTTGCTTGGACAGTGTGCTGATTTCCCTTTATTTAATCACCCTAATTAAACAAAGTTAAGATCAGGATCCTCCCTTAGCTATATTTCTTAGCAAGAGTTTAGTTAAAGGATCGTCTTTAAAGAACGTATTTTGCAAAAGAATAAATTAGAGCATACTTTACCACACAGGGTAACTTAGATGGGTTCTGGAAAATGAAGTCAATGTCCACTCCAGTGAAGAAAATTAATAAAATACACTTTTATTAATAAAATAAAATCCAGTGAAAAAGTAGAACAAACAAAAGACAAACAGAAAACAAGAAATCCTTACTTTGCCTCCCGTTAGAGACAAAGGGCAACCAACCTCAATGAACAGAAGTCGGGAAGCGCAAAGCTGAAGAGTACAAGTCAGCTTTTATACTCAGTGTCTCATATAATAGTGTTCATAAATCATGCAAAAACTACTTAACTCATACATTCAAGGAGCATGCTAAATCACTTGAACAATAGGAAGACAGATATATGAGTACATAGAAATCAATACATGGGCCTTTTTAATATCAGCCTCACTTCCCTCAGTTATGCCCCAGATTTAGGTGTTCGAGCTCGGCAAGGAGCTGGGTAGAGAGCTCGGTAGAAGTACGAGGAGGGGGTTCATCTAAAGTACAAGGGAGGGGGTAACTTGAAGTACCTAAGGGTTCACAGAGAGTTCGTCTAGCTGGTTTGTTGATTCGGCGCGCCCTCTGCCGGAGCCGCCTGTTCTGTCTCTTACGTTTCACTTCATCACTAAGAGTTGTGCTTTTACGCATAGGAATATCAGAATACATCAGTGATCTTTTGTGTCTCACATGATTAATGTCACCTGACCCATCAAACATCACAACAGCTAGAACAAACACAATGTCCAGCTTTACATAATTGTGAAACAGCATATTCATTGCCAAGTGCAAAATCAAACAACTGTCTGAAGTACTGATTGCTGTAAAATTACTGCATAATTAAACAACTGTGACAAGGTCTAAATAAACAAATTCAAATAATTTTTTTAAATGGAGGTTAAACATTTCAGCATCACACACAAATATTTGAGTAATAATTTGTCACTTATTTTTTCCTTGTATTTTATGTAAACAAATAGGTAAGTGCCATGCATAATTACTTAGACAAGGGAACAATGGTAATATACCTGATGAATGAAGTGAAGGTCTAAGGTTACACTGTGAGCCAAAGTGAAGCACAGAGGAACGAGTAGACAGTGGAGAGAAAACCTCGTGCTCCACGTCAGCTAGCACAGCATAACTGGCTGCAGATGCATCTATCCCTTCATTTCTTGCAGCATGAGCATCCTCCAAAATCTTATAAACACAACACATGACAATAAATTATGAATCGGCTTTGAAAAAGTCTGTATTACATGGATTAATGCTCGTTACGATGCTGAAGTATAATGTAAACAGATCACATTGCCTCTAATTACTGAAATAGTTATGATTACTGATTTGTAAGTCTTCAAATATGCTTACATATAAATATATAAACAAGTCTTACCGTGCACAATTCACGTTTTCGTCAAGCTCCATCTCTGACTGATCCGTGAAGAGCATGTTTCCCGCCAGTGGGAGAACGACAGGTGGAAGGCGGGCCTGACGAAGGCACAGTGTGCACCGAAGGAACCGCGCCAGCTTGGAGTCTGACGCGATTCTTGTTTCGGCATTCCATTTCAAACTGCATCAGATCACCAGGACAATAATCTTCCTTTTGAAAATGAGCACCACACACCACCGAGTTTTTCGAAACAGATGCTGAAGTGAAATCGCGCCTCTTTACCTGCACAAAGTGCATCCAAGCACAAAAGAGGGCTCCATCCTTTTTCCTGTCAGGAAACTTGTGGATTCGATGTCCTGACGTGCCAGAGTTTGTGCAGCCTCCACAAACACAATAATTTACCATGATGATGATCACTTACACTACTCGCTACCAAAAACACACTTACGTAAAACCGATCCTGCTAACTACCAACCTACTCTGCACAGTTCTCAGGCAGAGCGCAGCTTATAAGTCCCTGTTCTGACGTCATGTACGTGATTGTAGTTTTCCCAGAAGAGGGTCAGAAACAGACACTTTTCCTTACATTTTGTACCCTTGCGCTTTCAAAAACATTTCAATATGTTATGTTATGGTATTACATGATATTTTAACACACTTTTCCATGTATATAAAAAAAATTAACCTACAATAAGCTTTTTAAGGCCTTAATTTGAGATTACGAAATTTAAGAGTTTTTCAATGCTTTTAAGACCCCGGGGGTACTCTGGACATGGACCTTCAGCATGCAGTGGGACGGTTTGCTGCTGAGTGTGACATAGCAGGGAAAGAAACAGCACCTCTAAGTCAAAAACCATAATGCTTGACTGGAAAACAGTGGCCATCTCCAGTTTGGCGGAAAGTCCTTACCTCAAATGGAGTTTAAGTATCTGCATTTTTTTGCCATGAGGAATTATTATCATTATAAGAATTATATTATGAGCAAACATTATTCAGACATGAAACATCCTGTGCACATGAGAACATATTTTGCTACATTCATGTCATGTGTGCAACGTTTTGTCCATGTGTTTCTTAAGCTGAGCCGAATGAGTGAAACTCTGTAGACACTGTTCAGATCTGTACGGTTTTTCTCCAGTGTGAATCCTCTTTTGTGTTTTGAGATTAACTGATTAAACCTCGTCACAGTTTAAAAACTTATACGGTCTCTCCAGTGTGAATTGTCTGGTGCAGTTTTGTAGCTGTAATAAAAGTTTTCTCACATTCTGGGCACATATACTCTTTCACACCAGTGTGGATCTTCATGTTCATTTGAGGTTTGGTGATTGGTTGAAATTCTTCCCACACTGAGTAGATGTGAATGGTTTCCCTCCAGTGTGGGTCTTCGTGTGTTTAATAAAGGTCTGGGGAGCTGCGAAAACTCATCCCACATCGAAGCTGTGGTCACACTAGAATTTGAGCATGCGAAATTCTGTTGTACAGCGCTGTGAAAAGGAGCCGGATTAAACAAGATGATCAGACATTTAAAAAGCGAGCGATTGGTCTATATTTTACTAACTGTCCAGAGAGGTTTTCTGTTCATTGTGGATCCTCATGTGTTGATTAAGGTATGATGAGCGGGCAAAACTCTTCCCACACTGAGTGCATGTGTATGGTTTCTCTCCAGTGTGGATCACCATGTGTCGATTAAGGGAGAATGAGCAGTAAAAACTCTTCCCACACTGAGTGCATGTGAATGGTTTCTCTCCAGTGTGGATCACCATGTGTTGATTAAGGTTTGATGAGCAGGTAAAACTCTTCTCACACTGAGTGCATGTGAATGGTTTCTCTCCAGTGTGGATCCTCATGTGGTAAATAAGTGATGTTGATTGGCTGAAACTCTTCCCACACTGAGTGCATGTGAATGGTTTCTCTCCAGTGTGGATCACCATGTGTCGATTAAGGTAGAATGAGCAGTAAAAACTCTTCCCACACTGAGTGCATGTGAATGGTTTCTCTCCAGTGTGGATCACCATGTGTTGATTAAGGTTTGATGAGCAGGTAAAACTCTTCTCACACTGAGTGCATGTAAATGGTTTCTCTCCAGTGTGGATCCTCATGTGGTAAATAAGGGATGTTGATTGGCTGAAACTCTTCCCACACTGAGTGCATGTGAATGGTTTCTCTCCAGTGTGGATCACCATGTGTCGATTAAGGGAGAATGAGCAGTAAAAACTCTTCCCACACTGAGTGCATGTGAATGGTTTCTCTTCATTGTGGATCCTCATGTGTTGATTAAGGTATGATGAGCGGGTAAAACTCTTCCCACACTGAGTGCATGTGAATGGTTTCTCTCCAGTGTGGATCACCATGTGTTGATTAAGGTGTGTTGAGCAGGTAAAACTCTTCCCACACTGAGTGCATGTGAATGGTTTCTCTCCAGTGTGGATCCTCATGTGTAGATTAAGGGATGTTGATTGGCTGAAACTTTTCCCACACAGAGTGCATGCGAATGGTTTCTCTCCAGTGTGGATCCTCATGTGTTGATTAAGGGAGAATGAGCGGTAAAAACTCTTCCTACACTGAGTGCATGTAAATGGTTTCTCTCCAGTGTGGATCATCATGTGTTGATTAAGTTGTGATGATTGGCTAAAACTCTTCCCACACTGAGTGCATGTGAATGGTTTCTCTCCAGTGTGGTTCATCATGTGAATCTTAAGTTTGCTTTTGTTTGCCAAACTCTTTCCACACTGAGTACAGTTGAAACGATTCTTGTTTCTCCTTTTCAAAAAATGATTTTTTTCCTCAATTTTGACATGATGTTCCTCCTCTTTACTACCCTCATTCTCTTCAATTAGGTCTGAAATAAAAAAAAAAGTTTTCATTAAGTCTTAAAAACTCTCATCATTGGAAACATTGGCTACACACACTGTTTTAATGCACATTAAATGTAAAATAAATCAAATCATATGTTGTTTGGTCCATTAACGTGTACACATTTAAGCAGATACAATTCAATTCATCTTTATTTACCTAATGCATTTACAACGTAAATTGTGTCAAAGCCACTTAACATTAAAGTTATAGTAAATTGAAACAGTTTCAGTCCAGTTTTCAGTTTCTTACATAATGGATCATAAAAGTTATTTTGATCATATTGATAAGACAGATTTAAAAGCTGTAAACGGCCTATTTTTATTTGTATTGTAACATTGGTGGTTTTGGATGAATAAGTTTTGTTTAAGTCTTTCAAAGAAAGAAAAAAAACACGAAACAAATGAACTTTCAAAAACTGCTCCCGGCGGGATTAGAAGTTGGACCGTCAGCATCACAGTTGAATGCTTTATCGCTAGTCCATGTAAGAAGTGAAATCAGTGGCTTTTCCAGACCCTTTCATCCTACTCCCAGCAGACCTCGGACAAAAAAGTATAGGTTATTTATAACCTTTGGGCGCCAAACAAGTTTATCTTGTCAAAGATAGCCACAGCAAGCATTAATTTCCTAATTTCATAATCAAAAATAAAAATAAAATAAATTAAAGATTCTCTTTAAATAAGAACTCACACACGTACATTGACTCAACAGTAATATATTTAACAAAAAAAAAAAAAACATACAACATCACTGCGGAATCACTCCATTTGTAAAGGTTTCTAAACAAAATCAACCATCCTTGTACAACAAACAATAAAAGAAACAAACAAAACCAAAACAGTTCAAAAATAAATTATAGCTTGTGTAAAGGAAGCACGATGGAATGAGTAATGAACAAAAAGCCTGTTTTATGGGGTTGCAACGTGTGTAAAGATTTTCAGTGTGGGTGTATGAATGAATACAATAAACTGACCCGGGCTATTAGCATCGATTGGTACTGGTCCACCCCTTGATAAGTTTCGTTTAGAAAGGCTCCTTCCTACCAGACAGACTTTTTCGTTGGCTTCAGGAAAGGATTCAGCTTCCCACTGTCTCCACCGAGGATCCAGGAGACTGCTTGCACAAAATGACCACTGTAAAGTTTGCCGGGCACACTGCGTCCATTCTTGCTACACGCCACAGTCTTTTTTCTTCACACGCCAAAAACCAACAGCTCTTCAACCTCGCACATTTCCTTTCTCCATTCTCTGCCACAACAAACACACAAAGCCAAAAGAAACAAAATTCTTCTTCTCACTTTTCCATTTCCTCCCTCTTTAATCTTCTTTTCCCTACCTGAACTTCCGTTTTCTTCAACTTGACCCTGGAAGTTTTTGGAAGGGCAGGTTTGACTAGCTTCCCCTATTAGAGCTTAGAAGAAAAAATTTGGGGGAGGCATAGTCTTGCCACACTCTCCCCCTTGAAAAAAAAAAAAAAAACAACAACCCCTGGTTGTTTATAAAAGGGATGTCAGAAACCAAGAAACTCCTCTTAATCTAGTGGTTAGAGCAAAATGGCCTTAAGTTTTTCTTTCTCCTGATTCTCCAGTTCTTCAGCTGTTGGAAAGCAAGGCTTAAGATTACAAACATTTACGGTTCAAACATCCTCTCCAGTGTTTTCCAGGGCAACACGAGAGTTCAGAGGTCCTAACTGTTGAATTATCCTGTAGTGTCCTTTCCATTTTTTTGCAAGCTTCGCACTGAAATTATGCAATAAACTTGACTGAGGAAAGCTTACCCTGACACTGTCTTTTTCTTTATAGGATGCCTCTCATCCTGTTTTATTGTAACTGCGGAGTTGTCTTGCCATAGCTTTTTTTCTGAACTCACTTGCTTTCATTTTCAAATTTGACAGTTGTTCTGCAACGTCGTAGGCCGGAGAATCGGTATAAATTGTGTCCATGCAGTAACTTATCTACAGGACCTTGGAGTTTCCTCTCGAGTAGAAGCTCTGCTAGAGTCATGCCGATGGTTTCTTGGACTGCAGAATTTATGGCAAAGCGAAGTTCTGGTAAGTATTGGTCCCATTTTTATGGTTATCTTCTACATACGCAGAAATCATTTGTTTTAGGGTTCTGTTCAGTCGTTTTGTGAGATTAATCTGGGGGTGGTAGGCTATTTGATTTTTGTCATTTTCTGTTTGATTTTCCATTTTTAAACTTCAGAGAAAACTGCTGATGTGAACTGTGTGCCTCGGTCAGATAGAATGGAATCTGGTACTCCCCAACAAGTAAGTATTTCTTCTCTGAAGAATTTGGCTTCTGTCTGGGCAGTGGCCTCTCGCATGGGAAATAATTCCAGTGTTTCCTCTAGGATTGCACAGTAGAATGTCTGTCTGCTAGGTTCTGAAATATCTTGATTATATCTGGGTCTTTGTGTTGCTCTTCCCAGATTTCTGCAATGGAGATGGGTCAAAGTACGGTCACTTGAAAGGTGCAGAAGGGCATCCAGCTGGTTTGATGACAGACTCACTGTGCTTTTGATGAAGGGTTTACGAACCCAGTCGTACTGGTTCCAATTATGCTGCTCAGAAAAATACCTACTGAAATGTGCAGACAGAGATTGCAGATAGAGAGTGATTTCCGTTTTAGTAGTATCCCAGTTAAACAAATTTTCTGTGATAAATTCATCCAAGGTCAGGAACATGTTTAGATTTAGTAGGTTTGAACACGGCCTTGAAGGGACAAATTAAGCGAATTAAGCCTATCAAATATGTCAGACAGGTATGTAAGATCTGTGAGCTACTTAGCGTCAGTAAAATAACTCCTAAAGGAAGATCCACAATCAATCCTCAGTTCGTAATGCAATGAAAAAATACGCTGCAGGACTTTGCCTGTGGAGAGCCATCTAACCTCCTTGTGCAAAAGCAACAACTCATATTCGGACCCCATTTCTATGCACAACAAGGCAAACAGTCTTGATTTAGTGGGACAAGTCTTTATGAAATTCACAATCTGTATTGCTGTTTGAAGCACTGCGTTCAAGTCCGCAGGAAGTGTTTTTGCTGCGAGGACCTCTCTGCGAATCATACAGTGGGTGAAACAAACATGCGGAGCTACTTTATGAACCAAAGCAGCGAGTCCTTTATTTTTTCCTAACATGGATCCCGCTCCATCAGTGCACACACCGACACAATTGTCCCAACAAAGACCAAGTTCATTCAGT